GATATTGTTGTTCTTTCAAACACCTTTTAGAAATTATAGATGAATATTAATATCCTATGAAACCTTATATATATATATATATAAAGATTACATTATTTTAAAGAAAGTTTAAAATTGCACCAAACAAACAATAAAATCAAATATCTATCAGAATGTAATTAAGGTGGAATTCAAAAATCCACGTAATCTCTTAAAACAGGAGACTATGTAAATTTCAAACAAGATATGCCCATTGGTTAGGTTGTACCAAAAAATGTCAAGTCATTTCATATTCCATAAATTTTGTCTTAGCTGCAGTGTAAAATATAGCAAACTCAAAGTATAAGATCGAGATTAAGTACCTCCTCAACAGTCTTTCCAGCAATTTCGGAGGGTAACTTTGGCGCCTGAGATATAGCCAAACTACCTGAAGTAGAATATCTGCAGTCCAAATATCACGTGTAACATAAAAGTATTTTCAACATCATTTTAAATTAAAAAGCATTTTTTGCTATTACAAATAAAATCTCACACACACTGAGCCAACAATAGCAGTAGCTGGAGACGATGCTTGTGTTGTAGCAGAACTGGATCCAAATATATTTACAGCTGCTGACGTAGAACCTGCTCAAAATCATAGAATGATAATCACTGCAGCAAGCACATAATATGTAGGGTCGATGTTCTCAATATGTATATATGTATATAAATGCTAGTTTTCATCTCTGGCAATCAGCATAATTAGAAATCCTGACATCATGAAGAAGTCGATTAAAAAACACATGAAGATAATAGAAAATTGTACACAGCACCCATGCATTGAGAAGCATATACCATTTTGAATACTCATGATTTATTTTTGGGCGGGTGGGTCAAAAAAGTAGAGCATGCATGAATTGATATGATAAACAAGAAAAATAAAACAATTAGAACAATATTGTGCATAGAATTCACACTCATATTAGAGCAAATTGTTATGAATCAGTTCAATAACAAAGAAAAAATTGTTCTACTCCAAACTGAGCAGCTTCCCTGCATTCTCACGCCTTGACGCTTTGCACCTCACGAAGTCATCCGTAGGAGGTAAGGTTTGAGCTCTCCCACACACCTCTTCTCCCTATGTCGTTCCCAACCACAAATCATGCAAACCTTCCCCTCTTCATCTTCTTCAAACAGCTTTGCCCTAGTAATGTAAGTTACTTGATGTTGTCGCTGATCTCCCTCCAATTTCTTCACCATCTTCTTCATCTTCTCTACTTCCTTGTCTTCTTTGACTGTGTTCTCTTCCTCATTGTCCTTCTAGTGGCTTGAAAAATTGAGTCACAATTGTTCACCACATTGCAGCCAGCGTAAGCCCTTGGTCATAAAACCAAGTGCTATCACAGGCCTTTTATTTCTCCTAATAGCCTGCATAACTATTCCCCTCAACTCCACTTACTATAGCAGTTTTCTTATTTCTCCCTAATTTCAATCTCAATTGTTGAGATTTATCGAAAGCCATAGTGGGGGGCTTCCTCATTCTAACGACCTTAATGTAAATGCCTCGTCTTTCTCCTTCATTCTTTGCAGCAATTTCAATGTCAAGATTTATCCATTGACACCTCTTTCATGTTTAAGCGATTCTTCCCTCCACAATATTTTTGTTAGAAATGCAAAATAATTAGACATCTGATAAAGTGTTTATTTATGGTTTGATATGATTATTTTTCGTAAGATTACATGATTTAGGTAATCATGTTACACATTATAGCATCAATAATTGATTTAGAATACCTATTACTTAGGGCTTTCAAGTTAATATTCATCTGGTGTTGTTTATTTGGATCCTGAAGGAGCACATTTCGGGTGTTGTACCTCATGGTAGGAAATTTTTATTTATTAGAAAATAAATATATTATTCTTTGTTCGATGCATTATTCTTAATACTTGTAACATGTTTAGTTAAATAATTAGTAGAATTTATGTAATGTTTTATACATTTTATTTTGCCTTCTACATTTCTAATGTCATATTATCTATGAATAATTTTGTCATGTTAATTGTTACAAAAGCCCTTTAACTTAAAAATACTCATAATGGAATAATTTGTTTCTCATACACATTGTCTTTGTTGGTGATAAATAAATCTTGTAAACCCTAAATCATACTATGTTGGCATAATATAAACTTGCATAGAAATAAAATATATATATATATAGAATAGATATAATAATAATAATATATATATATATATATATATTTATTTATTTATATATATATATATAATTGATTGTGTAATGGTTGTAAATGCGGGCAGTACACTTATTGACATGAATGCTATTAATTCAGTCGCTTCCATACAAAGCTAATAATTCATAGAATGATGACACTTTGGGAGTCATTAAACTCCATTAGTTGTGTTGAAAATTTCCTTTGTCCAGGGTATATGTATAACGTATCATGATGCCCGGACACTTCTCTAAATTGAGGCGTGCAGTGTCCCGACACCATTCCGACACGGACACTCGTCCGACACTTCCTCTGACACGTGTCGAACACGCGAAAACATGTTCGATTAAAAAATATTTAAAAACAAGAATTGGCACCACGCGTGTGCACCGCTTCTTAAATATTTTATAATTTTTTTTTAAATATTAATTTCTTATATTTGACAGAGAATTTAACTAAATTTCTTATTTCATGATGCCAACAACACAAATCAACGTCTTTGGATTTAATACCATATTTCATCGAAAATTTCCATTTTCATTTCTCCTTTGGCAGTGAAGGTATTTCAATCTCCTCTCTTTTTGCCACAATTACAAATCTTTCGCCTTGTTGAACCAAATTGAAAGTAGTATATTCTCTGTTTTAAATTGCGCAATATAGAGGCACGCCTTGCGCAAATTCCTTCCCAAAGGCGCTCGAGGCGCACGCAACTTTTAAGCCTGGCAGAGGCGTACGCCTCACCGTGTGTGAGGCGCGCCTCAAATTGGCAATTGCGCAATTATGATGAGGCATATGCCTCACCTTGGCCCCACCCTACTTTAAAATAACTCCTTTTTTTTTCTCCCTTAAACCGTTCGGTCCAGGCATATCCCGATACATCGCCTGCAAGCTCCAGGTCGGCGGAACAGAAACCCTCCTGACCGTTCGGACTATCGTCCCCGCATATCCGCCGGCGCCGCTCTCTCCGCCGAGTTGAAGTGTCCGCGCTTGTAGGAAGAAATCAAAACGATTTTAAAGTATTTTTTTAACTTTTTGGTTAGATTTTTTGAAGTGAAAGAAATTGATAGGGTTTAGATTTTTTGGAAATTTTTTTGTGATTTTCGCATTCTTCATTAGGGAGGGGGGGGTCATGGTAAGAGGCAAGGAAAAGGGGTTTCGTGCATTGCGGAGGGACCCTTCTTGGAAATATAGTGTACAAGTTGACAATTGACGGTGGAGAGAAGAGCTATGTTTATTTTGAAATATAATTTTTGCGATAAAGTGATAAAGGAGGTGTTACCCGCATGAAGGAACATCTATCATGCTCGCACAAAAATGTAGCACCGTGTGCAAAGTGCAGGACAAATGTGAAAGGAAAAATAAGTGCTTACTGAAGAAAACTACCACTGCTAAACACTTACAACAGGAGCAATTTGATGAAAGGGTCAAGCATGGTGCTTATTTTGGGAGCGAGAGTGGAAAGGGCTCTTCCTACACTATACATAGTAGAGTGCACCGGGGTCTATGGATCAGCATATGATACTCCAGGAGTGGATAGAGGAGAAGCAGAATGATGCCTGCAACTGGTACTACAGAGGGTCGCGACAGGTTTGCATGAACATGGGAGTTTTTTTTTTTAGGGGAAGGAAATAAGAAAGATAATTTAAATGATAAATTTTGGGCTACCTGTAACCTATGCCATTTGAGGCACGAGACCCTTAGTGCAAGTTCTACGCTTAATGGATGAAGAGAAGAAATCAGCTATGGGTTTTATTTAAGTGTGGATGTCTTGAGGGGCGAAGTAGATCAAGTGGGCACATCCACTAGTACTACACACACATCCACTAGCTCTGCAGCACAACAATCAAGTAAAGGTATTCCACAACTTCTTATATGCTATTACAATTACATTTATGTCAAGTGAGCAATGAACATGATAATGATATTTTCTCTTAATGAACAGGGAAGAGAAAAGTGAGTCATATTGAAGATGATGTATGACATGGCATTCATAGATACAATTGGAGAAGAAGATTCACCTTGAAGACCCATTTAGTGATGGGATATGATTTCATTTTATATGTTTTTTGTATTTTGGGAGTTTCGTTAAACTAATATTGTGATTATGTACTTTGGAACATGATTTTATTGCATCTAATTTCTTACTTTCCACTATTTTCATATATCATTTTAAATGTTTTTTATTGTAAGATACAATATTTGCTATTATTTTCCTGCTAAATCCTTAATTTTTCATTTACGCAATTCTGTGTCCGTGAGGGCTTACGCCTCAGACCGCCTCAAGCTTACGCCTCCCTCAACGACGAAAACCAGCCTAAGGCTTAATTACGCAATTTTTAAACCTTGGTGATATTCAATGATGATGATATTGAAGGCCAAAACTAAACCCTCTAAAGACTAATCCTAGTAGTTTGAAGCTTGAATGCTGATGTTGAGTAATATGATTATTTGCTTATATTTTTGTGGTTATACTAGATATTTTGTACTAAATATTTATATTAATAAGCTAGACAAGTTATCATGTCATTCATTTATTATTGTTTATCATTTTTAATATGATATTACATTAATATATATACACTATATAAAAAAATGTATTGTCGTGTCCGCGTCGTTACCCGTATCCTATATTTTCAAAAAAAAAAAAACGTGTCTGTGTCGTGTCCGTGTCGTCGTGTCCGTGTCCGTGCATCAATAAAATAGTATAAGGTATTATGACAAAAATCAATGACTCGTCTTTTAATATATAATATATATATATATTATAATTTCATAAAAATGACTATAAGAGGATGTACCTTGGTGTATGCTTTTTGTTGATGATATTCTTCTTGTTGATAAGACTAGAGAGGGAGTGAAAGTAAACTTGAATTATGGAGGTCAACATTAGAGACTAAAGGTTTTCGCTTGAGTGGATCTAAAACGGAATATATGTAGTGTAAATTTTAGTTAGTAATATACTAGTGAGGGATTGTGACTTTGGCGATTCAAGTCATTAATAAGAGTACCGTTTTAGATATCTTGGATCTATTGTTCAAGAGTGATGGTGAAATTAGATGGGATATTATCAGCATAATTCAAGTAAAATAGTTGAATTGAGGAATGCATCGGCTTGTTGTGTGATAGAAAAGCCCACCTCAAACTTAAGGAAAAATTCTATAAGATGGTAGTGAGGCCTGCAATGCTTTATGGTGTTGAATGTTGGCCATTAAAAGAAAAGCATAATATTAAGTTAAGTGTGGCAGAGATGAGGATGCTCAGGCGGATGAGTGGCTTTACCCTTAGAGATAGGATACGAAATGAGCATATACCGTGAAAATGGTTGGAGTAGCTGCAGTAGAAGATAAGATTAGAGAGAAATCGCCTTAGATGGCTTGGTCACATAAAACGCGGCCTTCCAATGACCAGGTTAGAGAGTAGAGGTATTAGATTTAACTTATGTTAAGAAAGTAAGAGGCAGACCTAAAAACGCTGGTAGAAAATATTAGGAATGACCTTCTTTATTTAGAATTAAACGAGAATTTTGACCTTTAATAGGACACAAAAGAAGAAAAAGGATTCATGTAGCCGACCCCACGTACATGGTATAAAAGCCTTTGAAATTGTTGTTGTTGCATATAAATGACTATAAACCCTGTCATACTATAAATCAATTTAGAGCAATTAAAATTTCTTTAACATTCATGCAATGTAATAATATCATAATCTAATGCCATGATGAAATTTGCTATATCAATCTAGCATTGTAAATTGTGCCATTTATTGTTCATATTGCATGCATTGTCTCTTATAGCTTACATTTTAATAAATTTAAATTAAGTATTGAGTTTGTATGACAAACTCATTTGTAGCAAACTTTTCTTTTAATGGATCATATCAAGTTGATTAGTGGACCATAACAACAAGATTAAATATTTTGCCAATAATTATTTCATTGACTTAATATTCATATATAAGTTGTACTTCTTTGTTTGGATTTTTTTAAAAGTTATGGGATTCCTACACTTTATATAAGTTGATGTTGATGTTTTTTTCCCTGATGAAAACTTGTTAAAAAATATATTTATACAATAAAATTTCATTTTGTATATTTATAACAAACGCTTAAGTTACATGTATTTATATATGAATCTTTTTTCTCTTGAATATAAAAATCTTTTATTTGATCTTGAATTTTGAGGCGTGCCTTTTAATTTGACATCAAAGTCCTTCATCATGTCTTGTATTGTCATGTGCCTTGTCTTCCAGACCCATGATATGACAAAAAATTAGTTTGGAACAAACTTAAAAAGATAATCAAAAGAAGAAAAAAATTACAAATATGAATATATATATATATACATCAGCATGCCTATTTGATGTGGACATCGACCAGAGGTTCAGACATGTGTATCGTCGTAGACAGCGCAGATCGACGGCCACGATTCAGAGTTTATATTTCTAGTTATTCGTGTATTTCTTTTATGCATTTTCTTTTATTTCTTAGAATTTCCTATTGTACCCTTAGTATGAGCTGAGTCATGAGTGTAGCACCGAGGGCAATAGAGTCATTGTACTGTCTTTTGTGTTGGGACCTATATATAGGTCATTTCATGTTGTATTATGGTTAATGATTTGGAATGAAAATCTACTGTGTTCTTCTTTGTCTTCTTGCATGAGAGCTTGAAGAAAGAGAGAAAGAGAGCTCCAAGGGGAGCAAATCGCAAGGCCCACCAATCGTTGGAAGAGTCCTCGATTCGTGGTTAGGATTTTCCTATCTTCTCGTTCATGTTCCCATCCATATCCTTCCCCTCCCTTCCACAAGAAATCCCTCTTCCCCTATTGTCGCCGCTCTTGTGAGGAGCCCGCCGCCGCCCATCTTCCATCTCCGGCCGGCCATCTTGCCGGCGACGTCCCCGTCATCCACCCGACCCCCCCTTCCATACACAAAGTTCAAATTTGAAATTCGAAATTTCAAATTTCGAATTCTTTCCTAATTTGGAAATCCAATTTATGAAGGTTTTCATGAAGAGATTTAATTTCAATTTGAATTAGATGGGAGCTATGATATCAAGTGCCATGTCATCACCCAAATTTGGAAGCCCCACTATTTGATTTCCCCAATTCTTCCCCTGAGCATGCCGCCGGCCTCATCTAGAGGAACCCACAATTAGTGCCCCCATTTATGGCATTGATGGCACCTCTTTGAATTCAAAATCATAATAATTTTCCCTCTTAATTGCATCAAAACCTGAAATAAAATTTCAGGTTTTGTTTTACTCCCTCATCCCTCCCTCTCTCAACCCGCCGCCCCCCTCATTGGGCTTCCACGTGTTGTTTCCTATTCTAGCTCCAAGCCATGCTAAAATCAAATTCAAATCCTAAATTAATTCCCTCCAAACACCATTAATTCTGAAATTTATTTCAGATTTATTGAGGAATTAACTAGGACTGAATTTCCCAAACCCTACTCTCCTCTTGGAACCCGCCGCCCCATCCCCAGTGATATCCCGCCGGCTCTCCCCACCTCTCGCCTCCCTTCTTCCCCCAAAGCAAGGAGTCTCTACTACCTTCCCCTAGCTCTCCTCCACTTGAAGAATTCCCCAACATCGAGCATGTATGGCGGATTCGGAGTTTGAGTGGGGATTAGTCTTCAACGCCGACGGAAGCATTAACATCTTGCGATCGCCGTGCTTCGACGTAGGATTTGACGACGAAGCCACCGTGGAAGAGTACTTGGAGAGAGTCGTCCCGATCCTTGCAAGCATCTACGACCGACAACTTTCAAAGTACACTTGGAGTCTCGAGAGCCAAGCATTCACGCCCTCCTCGTCACCGTCAACCTCTCCGTGGCTAAAGGCCATTGGTGTGGCCACCATCTTCGTGGCGTCGTTGAGTTTGCTAAAGGCCTTCTCCCGCTAACCCAAATTGAGTGTGAGTGAGCAAGGTACTCATTGTGAAATTTCTAAACATTAGTCGTGGGATTTTATTAATTTTCCGCATTTGCTTTGTTGTGAACTTTTGGAGATTCATCATTAATTGTCCCTAAACACTAGCTCGAAACTACTTATCATAACATTTCATCAATGGAAAATGCTTGAATCTTAATTTACGGAAAGCTTAATCTTATTTTGGTAAACTTTGTGATTCTTAATGAATTTCATGTGCAATTCTTGAATGTTTCACATCACTATTGATGCTTAGGGCAATGTATAGGAGGACATAAAATAAAATAAAATAAGTGTTAGCAGAAGAAAAAAGCCTTTAGATAAGAAAAATGACATCCAGAAGTTTCCCGCAAATTAAATTTCATTCAGGAAAATGATGGGCTAGAGTATCAGCTTATGCAGTTTAGAACGAACAGCGTACAAAAACTGATCGAAATTTTTTAAGAACAAAAAGTTATATGCTGCATAGCAATTAACATGAACTGTAATGCCATCCAACTTTGCAGAAGATAAAAATAACTATATCAACTTTATAGACCAGCAATTTACCAAAAGCAAGAGCTGATGAGGGCTGTAATGGAAACGCTGTTGATGCTGATGAAGTGGTTGAAACAGCAGAACTTGATGACAAGCTCAAGCTTGGCAAAGAACTTGTGGATGCAGTCGCCGAACTTACAGCTGCTGCTGCTGCTGCTGTAGCAGCTGACTGCATTGCAGAAGAGGCGGAAGCTCCCAAAGGAGGAATAGATGGAGTAGATGCAACAGAAGCAGAAGATTGAGTAGAAAACAAAGTGGAGGAAGCAGGAGTAGCTGAAGCAGTTGCAAATGCAATAACATTGGAAGTAGCACCTGTTGAAGTTGCCAATGCTGCTGAAAAGGAAGAAGAACCAAAGGGTAATGAGAAAGACTTTGCAGCCGCGGCGCTGGAGAAGAGAGGAACCGAAGAGTCGGCTGAATTAGCTGTGGGAGCAATGATACCGAAGCCAAAAGAGGGCTGGGAAGCAGAACTCCCAAAAGAAACAGCAGGTTGCAAATTTAGAGCAGAGGAAGAGGTCGTATTAGTGGCAGTTGATGACAAGACAGTTTGGGTAGATGGAGCAGAACTAGATGAGCTGGACGAGGACAGAGCACTTCCAAATGAGAATGAAGATGTTGAAGATGACGGTAACTGATTGGGGAAGAGAGTTCCCGTGGTTGTGCTTGATGAAATGGCAGAGGAAGATTGAATGATGGAAGGAAAGAATGGGGTGGTCGCTGTTGATGATAAAGCCGCGCTGCCAAAAGGATTGGTTGCTCCCGAGCTTGAGGTGAGAAGAGAAGCCGCTGTGGAACTAGCCGCAGCGAACAAAGGCGACACTGGGAATGACTGGGCAGAAGCAGAGGACGACACCCCTAAGGCAGGCAAAGTAGCGGAAGCGGTGGATGCCCCAAATCCGAAGAGGGGCGGCGATGAGCCACCTCCAATGTTAGGATTTGTGATGGAAGAAGTTGCAGGAGCTGCTGCAACATTGGCGGATGACATGTTTGAAGAGAAGTCAGATACAAGGGTAGGAAAGGAAGAAAGCGTAGTCGACGAGGAACTATTGAAGGAGAATGACGAGGCTGGACCGGAAGAAAAGCTGAAGTAAGATGTGGGGGAGGAAGAGGAGGTAGTTACTGCGGCCGAAGCAGGAGTGGAGGTCGAGCTGAAGGAGTATGAGAAGGGTTTGGATGCAGATGATACGGCGAGCAAGCTGCTAGTAGCCGCCATAGATAAGTTAGGGTTTGATGAGGAGCTAAAGACGGATGACGATGAGTTGAAGGAGAATGCAGCGGAGGAAAACGAGGAATCGAACGGGTTGGACTGCGAAGCCGAGGTGACGGCGGAGCCGAAGGAGAAGGATGGGGTCTGGTTGGCGGAGGCAGCGGTAGCGGTAGCGGAGGATGAAAAGGTAGAAGAGGCGGCAGAAGAGAAGGAGAACGGGGAAGATGAAGATGCTAAAGAGCTAGAGGAAAGAGAGAAAGAGAATCCCGGAGACTGGGAGGATGATGAGGAAGAGTTGGAAGAAGGGTTGAAGGAGAAGGACGCTGCCATTCAAATTCGAGATGGACTGCTTCCACTCCCAACAAGTGTTTCTTCGTTTCTGACAATGGTGTGAGGGTTTTCGGAGGCTTCAAACGCTCGGGTGCTTTTTTTGGACGCGCGCATCGACCTATGGCTATGCAAACAAATCGCAATAAATTAACATCGATATAGTTTAAAATCGTATTATTCTAAAAATTTTAAGACAGGTTTTAGGGGTGTCAATTTTTGACATGATCCGCGACCCGGAATCAATCCGAAAAAATTTGAGTTCGGGTCGGCCCGTTTAGCAAACGGGTCGGGTTCGGATTCGGATATTTGACCCTTTTAAAAAACGGGTGGGATCAGTGGCGGAGCCAGAAAATTTTCATAGGGGGGCCTCTTTTTTTTTTTTTAAATCCCCTCAACTTTTTTCATCCGGGCTTGGGACCGGCATTGGCAGTTTTAAAAAAATTTTATTGACAAATAAACTATTAAAAATAAGATGAAATACACTTACAGTTTATACCTTCTATTCTTCATATTTTGGAAAAACTGAATGATAACATCATTGTTAATGCAATCTAAAATTTCTTTTTCAATATAAGCGATTAAGATATCGTTCATCCACTGATCCCCAATTCGATTGCGTAGTCGATTTTTTATAATAGCCATTGCAGAAAAACTCCTTTCAACTCCTGCTGTTGCAACTGGTAGTACTAATGCTAGCTTCAATAGTTTAAAAACAAGAGGATATAGTATTTCCTTCCTGCTCTGAACCATTTTTTCAACAAGACTTCCTATATCTTTCACCAATAAAAATTGATCATCAAACCGCATATCCATAATATAAGTTTCCAGCTGATTATCAAGAACCATCAAATCCAAAGGAGTGAAATCGTTTGGATATAAGTTTGTCATTTCAATTAACTTCTCTTTGTTGAATGCATTGAACGAATTCGATGGGTTCAAACAAGCAATACACAAAAGTAGTTGAGTATTAGCCTCTGTGAAACGATTATTCAACTCTTGAAGTTGCATATCAAGTACTGTGTAGAATATTTCAACCCGGTAATGATGTAAATTTGTCATTTCTTGAAGTCCACGTCGCGGTCTTCCACGGGCAACCCATTTATCATTTAGATTGGGAGTTATAATTTTGTGTTCAACACAAAAGGAAGTCACCTTTTTAATGAATTCATCCCACTTGTTGTCTCTCATGTATTGTAATCTATTTTTAGATATTCGAACTAATGACAAGGCATTCACAATATCCTGATCTTTTCTTTGCAAAGCTTCTGATAACTCAGCAGTGATTCCAAGTATGTCTTTCATTAAATGCAAGCAAAAAGAGAAGTCAAAGGATTGCATTGAATCTAATAATGCAAAAGCCTCTTCTCTCTGTTCAGAGCTTATGCCATCCTCTAAAACTATTTCAAGCACATTAATAATTGAAGAAAACATTGTAATCAATCTAATCAGTGATTCATAATGAGAACCCCATCTTGTATCACCAGCACGCTTTAAAGAAATTTCTTGATTTAATCCTCGTCCAGTGAATACCTCACCTTTATGTAATGCACTTAATGTTAGCTCACGTTGTTTGTCCCTTAACTGATCACGACGTTTACATGATACACTGACAATATTCATAATATTTAAAATTATAGTAAATAACAATGCAATATGAACATGATTCTTCGCAACTGCTACTAAAGCTAACTGAAGCTGATGTGAGAAACAGTGAATATAATGTGCAGATGCATTATCATTTAGAAAAAATGCTTTAAGGCCATTAAATTCTCCCCGCATATTGCTTGCACCATCATATCCTTGACCACGAATTTTGGAGGAAGACAAGCAATAATTTGAAAGAAAATCTTCAACTCCTTTTTTGATACATTTAGCTGATGTTTCTGGAACATGAACAATACCCAAAAAACGTTCAATAATTTGCCCTTTTTCATTTACATATCGGATAACAACAACCATTTGTTCTTTCCCTGAAATGTCACGAGCTTCATCAACAAGAATAGAGAAGTAGCTATCACCAACTTCTTCCTTTATGCAGTTTGTAATTGCAATGGAAATAGCTCTACAAATATCCTTCTGAATATCAGGTGCAGTTAATTTCAAATTTTCTGGAGCATTCTTTAGTACAACATTACTTATATCTTCATTGTGTTTTGCTAAAAAATCAAGTAGCTCAAGAAAATTTTCTTGATTATTTGAGCTGGAACTCTCATCGTGCCCTCGAAAAGCTAAACCTTGTCTTAGTAGAAACTTCACACAATCAATAGAAGAATTTAAGCGAACACGATATGCATTTGTTGCTCGATCTGACTGCACCTGAAAGGCAAAGTTAATATGTTAATCTTGTTTCATTAAATCCTCACAATTTTGTCTTGCATTATTATGAGCACTATTAGGTCCTTCTATATGAAGATCAAATCTATCAGGTTTTTTCCAATTGGAAAATCCATTTTTTCGAAATGCCTCATCATCTTCTTTTCCTCTTCCTTCTACTCCAAAAAGATAACAATACAAACAGTATGCTTTATCATTATGAATACTATACTCTAACCAACTGGAATATTTATCAAACCACCTCGGATTGAACCGTCTATCTTTTACCCCAAACTTACTTTTAGGGAAGTCATGATTGCGAGGTTGACATGGTCCTTTTTGCAAATATGCTCTTCGAATTTGATCACGAATATTAAAACTAAATGCAGTAATAGGTATACGTAATCCCGGATCTGATTGAAGATTCTCTAGATCTGGTACCGTGCAATTTAATGATTCACCATATGTTCGACTCCTTTTTTTACTTTGTTCATCATCTTTTTTTTGTGAACTACAAAAAGCATTAAAAACTATAAAGACAAAGTAAACTCATTTTTTTTATCCTAAACTAGATAATTTATCAAAAAAAAAAAACAATAATTAAACTCATTTTAAATTCTTTATTAAATAACTAAACCATAAACTATATAAAATAGGAAAATAAAAAACAAAACTTACCTGTACTGTCGGCTGATCCAAGATAGAAGAATGGAGTATTGTATAGTATCCAACAAAATCTTGTATCCAAATTAAAAACATTAACTTTAAACTGTAATTCATTTCTTGAATATTTGAATCTAATATAATTTAGGATTAATAAAAAAACCTATAGGAAAGAATAATCATTAAACTGTAAACAACAATAAAGAAAAAAAAAAAACAAATTCTTACCTCTGTGCTGCGGGCCAGCAGCTGCCGGCCGGATACGCCGGAGTCCGAACGGAAGAAAGCTTAGAAGGGAGAGATCAGAGATAAGGAGTCGGACTTGCACTGATAAAATAAAAACTATCAAGTATCAACTAAACTATACAAAACAAGAAAGAAAAATAAAATCTTACCTGTGCGTGCTGCCGGCTGAATCCAAGACGCCGGAACTCCGGAAGAATGCCCAAGGAGGCAAGGACGCCGGAAGAAGGGAGAGAGCTTCTAGCAGGACGAAAGTTTCCTGTGCGGCTGTGCTGGACTCTTCCTGACGTTCCCGTAGAGCAAACAAAGCGGCAACGTCACGAGGAGTCGGAATCAGAGGGAAGACACGAGGAGTCAAAGTCAGAACGATTTTTAATCTATGAATATATCACCGCCAAACTACCCAATACGGTACAGGCAAAAAAAAAATATATTCAGAGGGGGCACGTGCCCCCGCGGGCCCCCTCTCAGCTCCGCCAGTGGGTGGGATTCATGTTGACCCAGAAACTCGAAATCAACCCGATTCAAACGGGTCGGATTCATGTTGACCCAGAAACTCAAAATCAACCCGAAGTTAACCCGGGTCCGTTAACCCAGCCTAGCCGGCTTCTTGCTTCTGCGGTTCCGGCCTAGCTTGCTTACCGCAATCCAGCACGACCTCACGAGGCCACCTTCGGACTCCCAACGCCCAAGGGAACCAGCTCCCCACGCGGCCACGCCCCCACCTCCGCAGTCCGCCAGTCCCCACGGGCCACACGACGCGCCTTAGCAGTCCCCAGGTGTGGCCCGCAACACCTCCGTAGTCCGCTAGTCCCCATGCTGGCACGCACGCCTCTGCTGCTCCGCAGTCCCCATGCGCGGCGCCGACTCGAGATCCACGCGAATGCCCCCACGCGGCACGAGGTCGTAGTCCCCAGACTTCCCACGTGCGCCTACCTCTGCACTCTGCAGCCCATTTTTGTGTCAGTCGTGTCAACCCGACAACCCGTCAGGTTGGGTCCGTGTTACATTTTCTGACCCATTTGCAAAAACGGCTCGGGTTCGGGTCGTGTCAAATAGCATCGAGTCAGTTCCAGGTTCGACCCGAACCCGACCCGCATGACCCGAATTTACACCCATATATATATATATATATATATATAACGCATAAATTTATAATTACTCAATTTATATATTTAACATATAATTTTTTTATTACTATAATATTTTGATCTTAATAATCACCATTACATTAATCTTTCATCAAAATAAATATTAAAAATGAATTATTTTCTTCGCATGCTATTAATTATGGGGATAATTTTAAAACTAAGCATAATTATAAATTGTATTAAGAGCTTCAACATATTTTAAAAAAATAAATATAGGAAAAATCGTCCGTTTAACGGGCGACTTATACTTGACTAAAATGTTCAAGGACGAACGTGGCAAGGACTTGGCAAAATGGTTGCATATAAGTCGCCCGTAACTTATATCTAATTAAAAAATTGTCTCATCCTTCCAGATCTCATTTCATCCGACTTTCCCATCCCTTTCGCAGTCGTCATCGTCCCAAATTTCGATCCGCTGATTTCCCCGTCGGATTCTTAAGGAAAGGTTTTTACTTAACATTTATGATTAATTAAGTATAGTCTTTGAGGTGTTGTACTTATTTTGCTTAAAGAATTTCAATTTTAGTATTTGTGGTCCGGCAGAGCAACGACGTCAGGTGTTGGTCCGACGGAACTTAGGCTGTCGTCAAGGAGGAGCTTCTTCCTTCTCTTCCTTCTCTTCTCTTCTTGATTTGTTTCCCTTTCAAGAGAAAGGAGGGGGTCTTTTTATAAATTTCTGGAGTGGCATGATCTATAAATATGTGAGAGATCAAGGGTAAATCGTGAGTGGTTGGATGGATGACCGTTGTTGAATTCATTAATCAAGGATAATTTGATGGACATTTGAATGTCTTAGTGATGTCGGAATTTAGTGATCTTGGGCTCGTTGGATTTGTCTCGTCGAGCCGCTCGATTTGACTATAAGCATGTTATGTTTGAAAACTACTTGGTAATCCAAATTATGGTTTGAACCTTCCAACAATGCTTCTAACCCTTGATTTGGACCCGTCTAGGCTCGGATTGTGTTGGATTTGGTGTCGTTGGGTTTGTAATCTCGAGACGCTCAGTTCGACTGTAAGTTGATTGAAATCAGAGTTTGGATGGTCCCAATTTTAATTTCAAAAGTTTCCAACTTGATTTTGCATCGAGATTCATGTCTGATCAAGATAATTTTGATATGATGTATCAATTATTATAAAGATGCAAGAGTTAGTAAAATCGTATTCAAAGGTGTTTAACTTGTTGTATATATATTAGATGCATAAGAAATAGATAATTATAAAATAATGGAAGTTAAAATAATTTTAAATCATAAACTCATTTACATAAGTTATATAGAAATAATAATAATAATAATAATGATTATCATAATAGTAATAAGTGCATGAAAAACTTAACATTGTGATGATTTTGTCAAAATATATATATATATATATATATATAAGAAAAAAACATAACAAATTAATTACCCAAAAAAATTGAAGGAGCCATTTCGTTCACTTTAAAATTTTCAACTTTAGAGCCAAATATTTTGTTCCATATTCTAAATATGTTGAAGGAAAAATAAGCAATATATGTAAAGTATCACTAAGAAAAATATATATCAACTATAAATAATTCAAAATTTTTAAATGTTTTTTAATCTTGGATTATTTTATGATCAATTTCATCAACTTTATAAGAATATTTCTTTATAAATGTACTTAAAGTGAACGAAATATTTTTAACGTTACCAAAATACAACTAATGCATTAATTAACCATCAAAATACAACTACTACATCACAATCAAATAAGCATTACAAAATATCAAAGTTATTGTGTTTTAACATTACTAGATAAAACTAAACTTAAGATGTAAAAAACATCTTAAACATAAATATTAAGTTACATTTTTTAATTATAATACGCAAGCACTACATGAAATTCATGAATTTTCGGCGGTCTGGACCGGCGGTGTAACTGGCGGTTAGACCGCCGGTTTTTATCAGCGGTTATTTAATTAATTGCCGCATAAATTAGCGGCGGTCAAGTAATCGCCGGTTAGCATGTCGGTATTATTTCTTACCGGCGGCTCGAACCGTCGGTTTTAAGTGAATTGTTTCCGTCGGTCAGAACCGCCGAAAGTTGTTGAAAATTGCCTAAATTAAGCCATCCCAAGCCTTCCATTTCATTTCATCGCATCCTCTTCTCTCTCCCGATAGATAGTCGCCCCCGTCTCCTCCGCCCTCTTGCGATCGACCACGCCTCCTGCGCAGGAATCCGGCCACCGACAAGCTCCTTCCGACCGAAGATCTTGCCCCCACTCCAGCATCAAAACACGGCCGAAGATCTCGCCCCCACTCCTGCGCTAAACCAACGTCCGAACCGTAGCCCTAGGTTTGCATTTTTTTTATTTTTTAAAGAAATCTTTATGTTTTAGGTTAGATTTTAGATATCTTTCATTGGTTTACAAATATTTTCATTTGTTGGATTTTAATGACCATTTTTTGGGTGAAATATTTGTTCTTTTGTTAGATTTTAGTGATCCATTAAGTTTAAAAATTCTATGTTATAATTAAGTGAAATTTTGTTTTGGAAACTAGTAAGAAGCTGGGTAAAAGCTCATGAGATTAAACAGCTAAACAATATATATATATATATATAAGGTTTGAGACTATTTGTTAATAATTTAGTGAATTTTTGATAATCCAATTTAGAAGACTAATAGATCTAAAATCTTTAAAATTATCACAAAACACTTGTTTAGATATTACACAAATCATAGGATAACTGAAACTAGTAAGAAGATTTATTCAAGAAAATATCCTAAAAAATATTAATCAAATCAAAATGAATAGTATCCCACGTCTAATAAAACCTTGAATCAAAAACCATTCGAACCAAGACACTTGCCAGCACACACAGAAAAAAAATCTTTAATTTCTTCCAAAGTAGGAAAGTCCATATTTAAAAAAAAAAAGAGAGGGATTGTTAGAAAATATAAAGCTTACAAAATTTCATGTAGTACTTGATAGTAGTATTTTTTATAAAATTGTTTTCAATAGTGGTTAAAGGCAACAATCAATTCATTTTTTTTTTTGCTAATAGATTCACCATCAATCTGACAGTACCGAATAGAATTCCTTGTCTTCTACCATTGGCAATTCTAAGACAAAAAGAAAATCTTTACCTTCTTTAAGAAATCATTTGATTTAGATCTTAAGATTTTGTATATGCATGAGGATGCTATTGTTATGTGGAAAAAAGTGGCTAGTGATATTAAGAATATTGCAAAAGATGTCATTGGAGTATCAAAGGAAAAAGCTCCTAATAGTAAAAATATTTGATAGTGGAATCCAAATGTGCAAGAAAATATTAAAAATAAGAAGTTTTGTTATAAAATTTGATTTTATTTTAAAATTTTTGATAATTTAAAAATATATAAAGTGGCTCGTAAGGATGCTAAGAAAGCAATATGCCATGCAAAAACATTAGCTTTTAGTGATTTATATAATAGATTAGATACTAAGGAGGGAGAAAGACATATGTATAAGTTAGCCAAACAAAGATATAGGAGTAGTAAGGATTTAGTTCAAGTGAAGTGTATTAAGGATGAAGATCAAAAAATACTTTTCTTAGAATATGATATTCAACAAAGGTGGATGAGATATTTTGCTAACCTTTTTAATGAAGATTGTGAAAATAAGATTGACTATAATGATCTTAGCACCCTAAATGAAAATAAAGATTTATGTTTTTATCGGCGTATTAGTAAAACTGAAGTTAGAGAGGCTTTAAAGAAAATGAAGGGTGGAAAAGCTGTTGGACATGATGATATTCCAATACAGGTGTGGAAATGCTTAGGAGATGAAGGAATTTCTTGGCCTTACATTTATTAAGAGGTTTGATGGAGAAATATAGAGAAAATAAGAAGGATCTACATATGATATTTATTAATTTAGAAAAAGCATATGATAAAGTTCCAAGAGAAGTGCTATGGAGAGTTCTTGAAAAGAAAGGAGTTAATAATGCTTATATTCAAACCATTAAAGATATGTATGCAGGAGCTATTACTTGTGTTCAAACACTAGGTGGATTGACCAAGCATTTCCCTATTTCAGTTGGGTTACATCAAGGATCAGCCTTAAGCCCATATCTTTTTACTTTAGTCATGGATGTTATCACTAGACATTTGCAAGAGGATGTACCTTGGTGTATGCTTTTTGCTGATGGTATTCTTCTTGTTGATAAGACTAGAGAGGGAGTTGAAGGTAAACTTGAATTATGGAGGTAAACCTTAGAGTCTAAAGGTTTTCGCTTGAGTAGATCTAAAACATAATATATGGAGTGCAATTTTAGTA